GTATCGTTTATAGCAAATAACTGAATTATTTCATTTATTTAGCAAAAAGCATGCTGGATAGAAAAAATGTCACTTTTTTTATCGCCTAAAGTGACAGTAAAATTCTTTATATTTTCACCTGCGGATCATCTCTCGACGACTGTGATCTATCTACAAAGGCATGACAAAAACCAAGAGGCTTAGGCATCTAAATCAATAAAGAGAAAAGTGATTGCCTAAAACTGTTGAAAACCAACTTCAACCAGTACCCGCACAAACATAATCTCTTTCCTCAAGTAGCACAAACACCTCTGGAAGAGGTACAAAAGAGACAATATGAGGGTGACAGTATTCATGTAGGAGGAACACACATCAGTGTAATTTTTGCTGTAAAACAGGACCGTCTCTGCTCTAACTGCTATTAACAGTGTATGTGTGATTTCACAGAAAGAGGAAGTGAGATAGACAGAGAAAGAGAGACAGAAAGAGATCTTGAGGTCTGTTGTGAAGCATAAAGAGGCACCAAATCCAACTGAGGGAAACACACAAAGTAGGTTTCAAACCAGCATCAGTGGAAAAACCTGTCTTTCTTTAGCCATGATGCACTGTGAGGAATTGTGGGAAATACCTATACAACATCAACTCTCCTATTCTCATTTGCATTTCAGTTCAGGAGCAAAATTTTCTGTACAAATAAAGTGTTAAAAAATAAATTATTGGACCTAAATCAAACCTCAACTCAAAGCGTAAAGTGGCTCATACGAGCTGAGTGAATGGTCTTTTTAGTAACTTATTACTGACTTTTTCTTACATCTTACATTAGAAAAACAGAAAACCCACTTCTGCTGATGTGTTCTGCATCAACGCTACTGTATTAACACAGTGATAGTCTGACTAGATGTGGCTACAAAAAGAACAAGAAGTTGAAGAATAGAAAAATAAGTTGCTGTTGTTTGCTGACGACATAGTGCTGCACTCATTTAATTACAAATTCGCAACAGCTGTGCAGTGTCCACTGACAAACAACAAAAAGATAATGACAATAAAATGTTAATTATTTCATGGGAAGTGGATATTTTTTTTTATTTCATCAATGAATTACTGGTTATAAAATGTGATTTACGTATGGACAGTGCACATCTCAAAGGCAGATACCATTAATAACTTAGCTTGTTTCCAGGTTTGCTCCAACTCATCCCTTCAAAGTGAGACTATGTAACTTTTGAATGAAGAAATAATACAGTCCGACTCTTACAAATGAAAATTCATGACGCACCTTTGCTCAATTCAAAATACTCAAAGGTTTTTGGAGTCGCAGCCTGTTGTGAATACTAGCTCGTGGTGGCTACTGTTAGCTAATGCTAGCAAACTTCACACAGATCTTGCTGCGTTATCTCTAAATATGAAGGGGCGTTTTTTTGCACGTTTTCTCAGCCACCGTAGTTTCTCTTTTGTGCTTGGCAGGCGAAGCAGTTGTAATGTGCAACCACACCGCTAGAAGCCACTACTAAATCCTACACACTGGTCCTTTAACTGTCACCAGTGGTAACTATGACCTCTGTTTAGCAAAAGTTACATAGTCTTGCTTTAAAAATGACCAAATGTTACAATGAAAAATGACACGAACAAGTTCTACGTGCCCCGAATACCTTACAGGCTGGAGCTGAATATTTGTCACAGACACCCATGATGTGGTTTCTCCTTAAAACAATAATCCCCCCCCCCCTCAGATAGGCAATACTGCACTGGGTCAGCTACTAGTGTTGTAGCCTGAGTAATGAGTTTTCTTCAGTCAGTCAACTTTACAGTCAGTCGCTTAACCGTCAGTTGAATTTCCAGTCGTCTTTATCATCTTACCAAGACTCCAGCACACAGCCACATATGTCAGACAACAACACATTTATTTGTTTTCATCAAGGTTTCTTTTTTTATCATCACGAAGGCATATACTATTTTCTCTGTATATTACTTGTTTTATATATATATGTATATTTATATAATATTTATATAGAAACAAAAATAAGCGTACATTTTTGCTGAATAAGATTGAAGAATATCAGCAAAGGGCAATGTAAACCATGGTCCATCTAAAACAGGTGAAAGGTGCGGTAGTTCGCCCTTTCCCAACTCACCCACAGTAACAGATTTGCATAGGCAAAAATGGGATTAGCCCTTAGACAGTGGATTCCTGAATTCTTTACAGAGATGCAAAATCTAGTTCAGCTCAACACAATTAAAAACAAACATACATACAAACAAAAAAATAATGTTGACTAGGCCAAGCTCTCTTTAACCCCTCTGGTCATATACATAGTCATTTTTCTGTGCACATTTTTGTTTACAGTGTTAGGCTTCAAGTAGATCTAAAAACAACTTGTACATTGACAACTAGATGTGAAATAAATTAACCAACATGAGAGGTAGTGAAAAAGCCTACAGAGACGTTTTGTTGTTTTTTTTTTATACAAAGGAAAAAAATAAAACGTGTCAGTAAGGCCAAAGCTTCGCAAACCTCCTCCACCCTATCAGCTCTCAACCTTGTATTCAGTCAATAAAACCACAGCCACGTTTCAAAAACCCACTCACTTGGTACCCATGGAAATTTAAAGACAAAAATCTAAACTCAGCGATGACACTACATCACTTCACATCATCATCATTGCTTGTAAAATCCACATTTGAAATGCAGAAAAAATAAACAACCGTGTACTTTTCCCCACTGTGTAAAAGTCATAATAAATTAAGAGGAAAGGACGTAAGCAGAACCTGTCCTCCCTGTAAAACACTGTTACCTGGGTTTCTGCTGTGTCTGTCCTCCCTGTAAACCCTGTGAAGTGCTAACAGTAAGGTTAGCACAGGGCAGAGTCTCGTACCAGCCTTAAACCGGCTGGTTTCTCTGCTCACACCGGGGACAGCTGGCTCCCCACTGTTATGAGCATTTAATAAGGTAAAACACATGTCACAATTTATAAATGTAAACTTGGTTTAATTGCACCATGATTTCATTATCTGGTTCTTGGTGAAACATTCTCGTGTAATTACTGTGTAGACTTAGCGACGAGGAAACATAGCTTTACTGTGCAGAAGAGGGATTTGTCTGCGAGAGAGTGAAGGCATTTTTCTACTGAGTCATAAAGTTACAGAGTTGTCCAAATACAACATCTAAAATGCTTATGTAACCTGGAAATGAAAACAGTTCCAAGGAGTAAGTGTGAAAATTGATCCTTATTGTATCAGAATTGGTTAATTACTCTGTATTCCTCTGCTTCTGATCAACTGAGTGCATGCATGCTCACACAGCTCTTCATTAAAGCAGCTAAGCAATATCAGTATGGGTATTAATGTCGTCGGCATGTGTATTGCCAAAGGTTAAATGTGTACATGCGGATATTTTCAATAATTGCAAAACCGTTGGTTTAAACTTGTCTTCTTTACTTAACAGTGTCAATTTTACTGATTTATAACCAATATTTTACAACTGAAAGCTTTCGTATTAATGTGATAGCTTGGTTTTGAACTGGAAGCTTCATCCAGTTGGCATTTTGGCAGTGTAAGTGAAAAAAGTCCCATGATTGCATGGGCTTTACCATTTAGATTCCATTAGAGAAACTGAATGATCTGTTTCCTTGTTATGTTCCTCTAGTAACAAGAGGCTAACAAGGCTAACAAGAGGCAGCCAGATTCTTGAATTTTGTGGCATTAAAATGTTTTGAGTATCCTAAAAGGTGTATATCGGTTAATAATTTAAAAGATTACCTTCTGACAATTTAAAACCAATCTTACATAGTGGGACACAGCATCAAATAGACTCCAATCTATAATCTCTAACTACATCCAATTGCACTTGGATAGTCTGCCACGCACGTCTACTCCCTAAATTTAATCTAGACCAAACTTGGCACGTGAACTTCAGGTAGTTAAAGGAGATAGCAACGTGGATGCCTACATTTATCAGTGAGGTGTGGCACTGTTTCATTGACACTTTAAGACTGCACTAACCACCAAACCAAGAGGTCTGTTATATATCATGTGACATAATCAATATACTTGGAGGCCCAGTTCATAAAAAAAAAAAAAAAGGAAACAAAAGCATATACTGCACTCATGCACTTTCTACTGCACATCCACAGGCCAGGAACAAAGCTCATGTTCAAATGTTCACATCATCAAAAAACAAAATGTCCTTTTTATATACTAAAAATGTTAGTGGGACATTTGGCAAGACCCCTCTTAAAAGTTTTTTTTTTT